AAAAAAAATTTTAAATACCATGCCTTCTGCTCTATACGCAAACAGCACACGTCTTTCATCAACACGGGAAAACATCGGGAGGTTTGTCAAATATTTCATAAACACAAATTTGGTTAAGAAGGAGATAATGAAATGGTTGAAATGAAACGAAAATGCCTCACTAATGACAGCCTCACTGGCTTTTCAAATCTAACCACTTCAGAGGAGGGCCGATCTCATTATCACGTTGCACGGCTGCACGGAAAGAGCTCCCGCTCGGGAGAATTCACAGGGAGCCCAGGAGCCATCTCTCCCCGAACTATCAAGAGGAATAACATTCCATTTTGGTCTATTAAGCACAGCTCTTGAAAATGGCTGGCTCGATTTTCAGCAAATTCGAAAAACATATTTGCAAATGTGTTTATGAAAACCGAGACCACGAGGTGTGCGGATGACTCCACCCGAGGGCCGTGGGGGGCGGGGGTGGGGAAGGGGAAGGGCACCTTGAGATTCTCTATCATCCCCTAGCTCCAGGGTCAGCAAATGTGGCACGTGAATGGGCCAGAAAGACAGTATTTTCAGGTCTGCGGGGCAGATGGTCTCCGTCACATCTCTGCCATTGTAGCAAGAGAGCAGCTAAAGCAGCCTTAGGCGATACCTATTCGGAGGGCGGTGGCTGGGTGAAAATAAAACTTTATTTACAAAAAAACAGGTGGCGAGCCGGGCTCTGCCTGGGAACCACAGCTCCTGACCTCTGCTCTAGAACAGCGGGACCTGAAGTGCAACGAGAAACCCACCAAACGAGGGACACGTTCCACTTCTCCGAGATGGAGGGGATGGAAGAAGGAGCAGAAGGGGGTTTCCAACATGCACCTCAAAGGGCAGGTGCTGCAAACGGTGGCCTTGTTTTCATTCTCAACGTGCAGCTCCTCACCTTGGCCGTGACTCCATGCAACATGCTCCAGGGCAAGCAGTAGTTTACTTAGATGGTGGTGAAGGTCCTTAACCCTCAGGATCAGGGTAGACAGCCAACCGGTGTGATGTCAACCACAGTAGCTTTCACGAAGAAACAGTTATCTGGGTGGCGCCTGAAAACCTCGTCCTTATTAACAGGTTAAGCAAACTGAAGCAGCCGGAGATCACTCCCGGCCAAAGCTGATGGGGATCTAGAACCCAGTTCTTGTACATAGGAACATACGCTACGCTCAGTATGAACAAATGAACAAACAAAGACACAAATTATCCAAGATTCGTTTTTCTTTGGAGTTCTCAGCTCAAAGCTGTCAAGATGATCTCTTTTTCTTTTACTTTTTTTTAATGGTTTTATTTATTTTCTTGAGAGAGAGAGAGAGTGTGTGTGGGCAGGGGAGGGGCAGAGAGAGAGGTCAGCAGAGGAGCCAAAGCAGGCTCTGTGCTGACAGCAGTGAGCCCGATGTGGGGCTCGAACTCACAAACTGTGAGGTCACGACCTGAGCTGAATCAGATGCTTCACCAACTGAGCCACCCAGGCACCCCAAGGTGGATCTCTTTTAAAAAGTGACCCTGAGGGGCGCCTGGGTGGCTCAGTCGGTTAAGCGGCCGACTTCGGCTCAGGTCATGATCTCACGGTCCGTGGGTTCGAGCCCCGCGTCAGGCTCTGTGCTGACAGCTCAGAGCCTGGAGCCTGTTTCAGATTCTGTGTCTTCCTTTCTCTGACCCTCCCCCGTTCATGCTCTGTCTCTCTCTGTCTCAAAAATAAATAAATAAATGTTTAAAAAAAAAAAAAATTTTTTTTAAATAAAAAGTGACCCCGAAATTCATTAGGGATGATATACCAAATTGTTCATCACAATATTATTTATGAAAGACAAAACCCGGAGACAACTCAAGTTTCCATCAGCTGGGGACAAATTAAATTAATCACGACACATCATTACAATAACTTCTTTGCAGTTATTAAGAATGGTAACTGAAAAAAGAAAAAAAACACAGGGGCACCCGGGTGGCTCAGTCGGTTAAGCGTCTTGGCTTCAGCTCAGGTCATGAACTCACGGTTCGTGAGTTCGAGGCCCAATTCAGGAGGGCTGTCTGCTGTCAGCACAAACTCCACTTCAGATTCTCTCTCACTCTCTCTCTCCCTCTCTCTGCCCCTCCCCCGCACATGTGCATGCACGCGTGCGCCCTCTCTCTCTCAAAAATAAACATTAAAAAAATAAAAGAACCGTAACTGTAGGAAAAAATACAGAAATGTATCATCAGATGAGAAAAGCAGGCTAGAACACACAAAGATACAATTTATGTCATGAAAATGTATGCCCCATACCCAATGCACATGCACAGAGAAAGAGCCAGAAAGATGTGTACCTTGAGTGACGCCCTCTGCGGGAATGTGATTATTGGTAGCTGTATCCTTTCGAGTAAAGCCGTATATTACAATTTATCTACAATGAACATGCGTTGGTAGTAAGAAACTTTAGAATAAAGCAAACAAAAGCCACTCCAGCTACCATAGTGGACCGGATGATGCAGCCTTCCTAGATACTCCAGAGTCACTGGTGAAGGGAGCCAGCGAAGGTCACAACGGTTATAGCAGTGGCATTTGTCAGAGTGGACAAAGTACAAGTTCAAAGCACGTACGAGAGGGCCAAGGTCAAAGAGAGATTTACTGACACCAGGCAGTAATTAAAACTGAGCACGGTGCAGGCGCTCCTGGGCGCCTGTCGATTAAGCGTGTGACTCTTCGTTCCAGCTCAGGTCAAGATTTCACGGTCTGTGAGTTCGAGCCCTGCGTTGGGCTCCACACTGGCAGTGCAGAGCCTGCTTGGGATTCTCTCCCTGCCTTTCTCTCTCTCTGCCCCTCTCCCGTTAGCGTGCGCATACTCTCTCTCTCTCTCAAAATAAATAAACTTAAAAAAGTTTACACACACACACACACAAAAGAGCACCATGGAGCCTGTCTGGCAACTCAGAACCCAAGCTGGCTTCTCCACCATCAAACAACATCATATCCAGGCATGTATCTCATTTTATCGCACTTCATTGACACCGTGTTTTCTACAAACTGACGGTCTGTGGCAACTAGCTTCTTGGCCCCATTTTCCCAACAGCGTCCAATCACTTCACGTCTCTGTGTCACATTGTGCTAATTCTCACCATATTTCAAACTTTTTCATTATTACTGTATTTGTTCCGGTGATCTGTGATCAGAGATTATGGCTCACTGAAAGCTTAGATGACGGTTAGCGCTTTTTAGCCATCAAGTGTTTTTTAATTACGAGTGCACGGGGTTTTTTTTTTTTTGATGTGATGCTTAATGTACAGTTACTAGACTAGAGTGTCTATAAACACAACTGTTATATGAATCGGGAAACCAAAAACTTGACTTAACTTGCTTTATTGCAATATTCGCTTTACGGTAGTAGTCTGGAACTGAACCCACAATATCTCCAAGGTTTGCCTGTATACCGTTGCATATAAGGAAAATGCTAGAAAGGCAATAGGAAGATAGGAAAATGTTTCCTATGCTGGAAAACTGTTTCTAATTCTTTTTTTTAATGTTTATTTTTTGAGAGAGAGAGAGACTGAACACTAGCGGGGGAGGGGCAGAGAGAGAGGGAGACACAGAATCGGAAGCAAGCTCTAGGCTCTGAGCTTGATGTGGAGCTGGAACTCGTGAACCGCGAGATCATGACCTGAGCCGATGTCGGACACTTAACCGACTGAGCCACCCAGGCACCCCTCTAATTTTTTTAAACCATACAATCGAGGGGCGCCTGGGTGGCTCAATGAGTCATGCGTCCAACTTCGGCTCAGGTCATGATCTTGTGGTCTGGGAGTTCAGGCCCCGCATCAGGCTCTCTGCTGTCAGCATGGAGCCCACATGGGATCCTCTGTCCCCTTCTCTCTCAGCCCTTTCCCTGCTTGTGCGCTCCCTCTTTCAAAACTAAATAAACATAAAAAAATGAAAAACAAAAACAAAACAAAAAAAAACAAAACCAATACAATTGCTCTTTAAAGGTGTGTGTGCACAAATGTAGGCAAAGGAGAGAAAATGCAGGCAGTGAGGACACCCACACCGAACATTTAAGCTTGCTGAACTTTTCAATCGCCCCAGGCAGATGGGACCCTCAGACCCCTTTTGGAGACTGGAAACTGAGGCAAGGAGTGGGGAAGCAAGCAGCCAAGGTCTCACTAGCAAGGAGCAGAGACGGGACTCGAACCTGCAGCTAACTGACCCAGAAGCATGAGCGCTTAAATTCTGGGCAACCCTACGCACCCAAAACTCAAACGTCAATAATCTTTCACCTTAATGAGGGTTCTTGAAAAGCTTCCTCAAGATACACATCCATGAGACACAACTTTCAAAAGGTACAGCAGCCTCCGAAGCGATGCTGATGGGAGCTTAACAAGGAGATAACAGTTCTCTGGGGAAAAAAATACAACTATTGAAACAAAATCTCAATGACAGCATTCTCTTCGCAGAGCACGATTCACCCCCATAACATATGAATGCCTCTCCTCACTGAAACCTCAGCACCAGTCTGAATAAGGCGGCGAGGTTTCCTCGCACCACTGACACGGCTTGATGAGTGACCAGGCAAGATCTCGGCACATCTGTTCTGGCTGACAAGGACACAGGCCTGGGCGAAGCTCGATTCGGCCGCTACGTTCCCCAGCGACTTACAAACCACATGCCCGGGTGTGACAAGGGAATAAATTATACAAGCAGTGAAGGAGAATGACGTTGGCAAAGCAGCAGTGAGAGCGGATTTGACCCGAGTCTAGCAAAACCCCGCTGCTGTCACCGGCTCTTTCTATACTGCCAAGAGTGGCCGGGTCAAAAATCACATTGGCCCAATTCCAGCCGCACATTTATTCACGCAAAATCTCAAAAGGGAAACCTAAATATTGCCTCTTTTCTGATTTTTTGACAGCCTCCGAAATGAATTCTCAGTGTTCCCCACAGTGTAGTTCATAACAACTCGGGCTGGAAGTCAACTAACTTCTTGGTTAAAAAATGTATAAACAAAAGATCCTTTTTAGAAATGAGCTTTATTTTCAATGCGACTCAGTTCTGCAAGTCTACAGGTTTACTTGGTTACTTCTTCCTCCCGTCAGGTTTACCTACAAATCAGGATTTCAAAAACCACAACGAACAAATCAAACACCGGCAGGATCTGGGTGCTGACCACCGGCATTTCGTCTTGGCAATAAAAGGCCTCCCTTTCAATGAAGATTCTGTGCAAAATGCTAGATTTCCTCGAGTGAGGCTCCTTGTTTTTCAACCTTGAAATCACTCACTTGAAAATCAGACCCGGAATTCCAAACTTTGAGAACTGGGTCCTGATACCCCCCATGGACGGCACCCTCGTTCCGAAAATGATACAATTAATGGCCCCAAAAGTGACTTTAACAGAGGACTTCAAGGCAAGGCGAAGTTTCTCCTAACACCCACATCTGCCTGCTCTGTACCTCTCTTCCATGGGAATCGGTAATACTTCACCCTTAAAGTCCTGGGGATGACCTTAGCTGCACTGAGTGGCCAAGCAGAGCCCATCGAGACAGGAAAGGAATTTGGACACAGGCCCAGCAACAATGAACTTGCTTGTTATTCGTAAATACAGTCCAGTAAAGAGGTTCCATCAAACTCAAAAGCCAACCTTTCTGTTTCAGATCCCTGGATAAAAATGATTTTTTCAAAACTTGGGTAATTGGAACCAAAAAGGATGGTTGTTAAAAATAAGCGGAGAAATATCCAGAAGTGGGTTTCTAGCGGAAGCTTGGAAGAGGAATTCCAATCTAAAAAAACAATCTAGACATGTTCTTTTATCCGTAGGGAATGCAATGTTATCACATTCCCCTTCCATAAGCCCTCCTCAAACTCCTTAAGTAGTCAGCATTTCAGAGGAGAGACCAAAGTGAAAAGATCTTTGAAAAGAAAACAATGACGTGGCTGGGAAACCGTGTGCAGCTTGGCGAACATTTTTTTCCACCCACCACGAACTTGGGCTTTCTGGGAAGATCGCTGGTTTTCCAGTCAAAACCATTCTTGAAGTCATCAGGAACGGAGGAAGGGAGACCCGGCATCTGGGAAGGTGGTTCCTGGTTCCTGGTTCCTGGTTCCCGGGAAGGCGTATATCTGGGGCTCAGGAGCCAAACAGCCTGGAAAAGTCGGAGGGCAGAAATGTACATGAAGATGCGAACGAAGCAAAGCTATTGCTCTGAAAACACTTTCAGAAGATTTTTTATGTTACTATTAAGATTATTTTGTATCCTTTATAATTTTGTAAGTGATTTTTCTGTTATGCAACGTGAACATACTTAACACTACCAAACAGTACATTTTATTTTTTTTTAATGTTTTTATTTATTTTGAGACAGAGACAGAGCATGAGCAGGGGAGGGGAAGAGAGAGGGGGAGACACAGAATCCGAAGCAGGCTCCAGGCTCTAAGCTGTCAGCACAGAGCCTGACGCGGGGCTTGAACTCACGGAGTGTGAGATCACGACCTGAGCTGAAGTCGGAGCTTAACCGCCTGAGCCACCCAGGCGCCCCCAAACAGTACATTTTAAAAAGAAGAAAGCTATTTAACAAAGTATCTACTTCATCAGAATCTGTAACATTTTAGCCCATTCTCTATTACTGCCAGTCAGTGATGACTTTCATAAATTAAAAAAAAAAAAGATATTAACGTTATTCCAGTGAAGGAAATCCTGAACAGGGAAGGCTTGGAAACTGTACAAATGTCCATGAAGTTGAGAATGGGTATGTAAGTTATGATAGAGGTTTACTGGGGAAAACCACAGGGCTGTTAAAAAGATATATATGGTGGGGGGTTGCCTGAGTGGCTCAGTTGGTTAAGCATCTGACTTTTGATTTCGGCTTAGGTCATGATCTCACGGTTCCTGAGTTCGAGCCCTGCATCGGGC